GAAGTTTAGGTGGGGTTTGATGTGTGAAAAATTATGGTAAAGTCATTCTGTGATCTTCTGAACAGCCTTGCTTATTAGAGAATATGTATGCAGTAACTCTTTTTAATGTTCTTTGGCCTTAAATCAATCTTAGATGCATGGGACCTTTTCCATCAAATGCAGTTGCTAGCAAGTTAGGATTTTTTTATCCTAATCTGGTCATATTAAGTTTTGGCAATACCATTCCAAAGTTCTTCTTGGTCTTATAAATTGTTATGGTGGTTGTAAGTTTCAAAAACAAAAGTGGCATATTTTGTAAAGGATCAAGAGAAGTTTGGTGGCTCAAAGATTTGATGGCAAGGTTGTCAAAGAAATGGGCTAAAGTTTTGGCTCTATTTTTTTAGTCAAATTATGCAAACTTTTTGATGGAACTCCATTAAGTATAAAGCATGTGCAAAAAGATGGTCTTAACAAGGAAAAAGGGGGAAGCCGACGGCAGCTAGTCTATGGCGGCGAAAGGAAGCCGACAACGGCGGTGGACATGATTGAGGATGGTGAAGTTTTCGCCAGGGTTAGGGTTTGGGTCACGTTTCTCAGATCAGAGAGAGAGAGACAGAGAGAGAGACAGAGAGAGGTTTGAGTTAGAACCAACATGTGTGGTTTTAAAGAGAAAAGTTAGGGAACATGAAAAAACTTTCATGAAAATGATCATGAAAGATTTATGACTCTTAGATTACCTTGATTAATGTGTGTTGCTTTATTTTAAGTGTAATCCAAGGGTCATAAATCTTTTATGATCATTTTCATGAAAAAATTTTCATGATACCTAGCATTGCTGGGTTTTAAATATATAGGGGTGGTTTAGTCATTGTGCAGAAGCTTATCCTTATGGACATAATGTTTTTGCACTTGAACATTTGGGTAAAGAAAATTTAAAAATGGATTTATCGCCCAAGTGTCCTAAAATTAACTGAATTGCTAATTAAATATATTTATGACATTATTGAAAATTGTTAATTGATTTTGTGACTTATTTATAAAAGAGATCATCTATTATTCGATTAGAAACTTGAAGGGTGAGATGTAATTTTCAGAACCATATGGGGCAATCTTTATTTTAAGTAAACTTCAAGGTTATATTTGTAATTTACCCCAAAATATAAGATTAATTATATGAGTGCTGCTATTAGTACCCCATAAATTATTTTGAACCTCTCAATTTTTAACTTTCTTTTTATTACAATAATAATCTCAAATAAAATTACTAAAAATGACATTATTAATTTCGAGATACCCCATCTCACAATTAAACCCACACACCCACTACATCATGAATTAGGGTTTATAAGAGCGCCCACCTCCACCATCACCCATCCGTCTTCCCCAAATCCCACCTTCAAACTTATCCACCATCAAAACCTTGAAAACCTTTTAGCAGCAATATTTCGACGATAACAGTAGCAATCATTTGATTACCTACACTTCTCCGGCAATGATAATGAGTGAGTTTTTTCAGCAACCACAATTCCATGTGATGAGATGAGTACAACAATAAAAGTTCAGAGGAGGTTCATAACTTTGATAGTGTTTTTAGCATAGAGGAGATTGACATTGTAAGAGTAAGTTTCTTAAAAAAAATGACAAAAATAATAAAATATGTTTGTCATTTTTTTGAGACTGAACTCCGAACATATGACAGAAATTCGAAAACACAAGGCTAAACATTGTTTATTTGTTCGGGAAGCGGTAACCAAACATTTATTATTTGTTCAGAAACAGATTACCGAACATTAATCATCGAACAAAAAGATGAGGCGGCAGAGAGAGAGAGAGAGAGAGGGCATACAAACTGTGACAATGGTTAAATCGAAGAAAAGAATGAGGCGACAAAGACAATAATCACACTTGGCCCTTCTTCTTCTTCGTGGGTTTTGTTAAGGGTTGTGGAAGAGATTTTTTTTGAGGTGTGGGGATGTGGGGATGTGGGGGTGTGTATTCCATTGAATGGGTGAAATATTTTTACAATGATAACTTTGGTATTATTTGGGGGCAGAAAAGAAATTTTAAAGGTTTCAAAATTTATAAGTGAGGATCCAAAGAAATAAGGGATCCAAAATAATAAATGGAATGCTAATAGCACCACTCTAATTATATTTGTAATTTTCAAAATATGAATTTTGTATCATTTTGGTCTTTAATGTTTAAATGTGTTTCAATTTTACTCTCCTAAGAGCATCTTCATCAGCTCTTCAAAATCATTTTTTAGCTAATAAACTTCAAAAAATCAACTTTATCAAACTTGTTTGTAGCTCGTCAAAATTTACGATCGCTATAGTAACTCGTTACAACAAGCGAGGCACTGTTCATCGCTACTTATGTATTACCGGAAGTTCGGCCGGTCAATTGGTCAACGGCATTTTTTTTTTCACATTTCTTCCAATTTTACCTTTTACAAAGGAACATAAGAATTGTTTGGCTAGCAGCTCATTTATTTAATTAAAAAAAAGAATAACAAATATTTTAATAGGATTGAGTTAGAATAGAAAGTTTGATACAGTGGGGTAATTAGTTAAAATAGAAAAATGGCTTTTCTAGTTATAATTAACTAAAAATTTAAAGAGATTGGTGTGGATGCTCTAAGAGCATCCGCACCAGCCTTTTCAAAGTTTTAGTCAAATTTGACCCAAAATTCACAGTTTCTATTTTAACTAGTCACCTTTTTAGTATTTACTGCATCAAACTCTCTATTTTAACTCAATTTTATTAAAATATTAATTTCTTATTGTATTTATTATTCTTTCTTTTTTATTAAATTGATGAGGTGTCACCCAAACAATTCTTTTAAAAAAAAAATTGTCGTTAACTGATCGACGTCGACCGATTAGGCTAATTTTGGACATTTTTCTTCTTCTGCTATAGGCATCACGGGACATTTGGTAAGATATCCGGGAAGACATCCGAGTGGACGACTGGTTTAAAATTTTTGGCCCATTTTTACTCCAGAAAATATAATAAAAAATAATGTAGCTAATGAACAGTGTCTATTTTTGTTGAGATATTGTAGCAAATTTAACAAAAAATTAATTTACAAAAAATTTGTTGAGGCTGATGGAGGAAGGATTTGATGCTGATGCTCTCTACAATAGCTTCAAAGCTAGCTATTGTAGAGAGTCTGATGTGGATGCTCTAAAAGCAATTCCAATACTACTCTTTATTTTCACTAGCTAAATGATGAAAAATATATACTCTTTATTTTACCTAACTAAATTTTCATTTATGTGCTCCAATGCTATTCTTTATTTCACATATTTATCCACACAAATTAGTTTAAAGAGTCTCCCAAGACTCTCCAAATGCAACTAACCTTGAAGAATCTTATTAAATTAACTATTGCAGTAATTAACCAGCTATAAAGAGTAAGAAATTATCATATTAGCTATAATAGCTAACATGCTTCTTTTAAAGAGCCCATTGGAGATGCTCCTAACTTCGTTACTAGGTGCCATTAAGATTAAGAATAAATGTGAAGACACACTTTAAAAAATTACACATTTTTAGTCACTAAAATATTGGATATGTATCGCTAATGTAAAAACTCACTTAAAAAGTAACTCTTTCAATCTCTGAAATATATGATTTGTGACATTTTGGTCTTCAAAATTATACATTGACCTTTAATTTGGAAAATGCTATGATGTGCACCCTTTAGGGCGGCATATCATATGCATTCTATTGCAAAATGTGTAATTTTATCATAAAATTTTATAATACAACTACAAAATGTGTAATCTCACCACAAATTAACCTAACAAAAAATGCCGTAACAAAGTCACAAACTTTTGTAACATCAATTACAAAATTTTGGATATTAAGTTACTTTATGGCGAGGTTACATATTTTATAATTGTTATTATAAAATTTTGTGATAAAATTACATATTTTTATGGTAGGGTGCATATAGTATATATCCCAAAAGGGTGCACACCATAGGATTTTTCCTAATTTTAACGGTTCCTATTGACGGAGTTAGATTAGAGAGCAAATTAGAACACATTTAATAAATTGAAGATTAAATTGATATAATTTAAATATTGAGAAACAAACAAAAACAACACATACTTTGGAGATTAGAAACAAAATTGATAAATTACACTATTCTCCTTAAAATTTAAAATATATATATAGTCTCATAACTTTATTATAATTACATTGAACTTATTCAATGTTTTAATTTACATAATACTTTGCCAAATTTTGTTTATCGATAATTTATTAATTATATGGATTAAAAATGACGTTGTCAAATACTTTACACAAAATGCATATTTTAAGTTGTGTATTATTGTATTTTTACACTACGTTAATTTCAATCAATTAACTTTACTAAGCAAGTAATTAGTATAATTATCTTAAAATTGAAAATTTTACAATATTTTCTTCAAACTACGGAGCTTAGATGGTTGGCTGATCATGAACTAGGTGTACCTATCAATTTTTTTGGGGGGGTCAATATTATTAGAAATACCGTTATATCCAACGATAAACCTAATTATTATAAAACTATAACGCAATCAAACTCAAACAAAATAAAATGTTGAATTGAACCATACCATATTTACTGGGGATTATTACTTATTTTTGTACTTGCTATTTTATTTTTTAATTATTATTTCCTCAATTAGAAAAAATAAGAGTAAATTATCAATATATTCAAATAGTTGGATTTAATTCCTATAAACTATAAATTATAATACAATCGTCGCTAAAAATAATTTTTTATAACGAATATTTTGTATATATCGTTAAAAATTAATAATTAGTGACTTTTTTTTATCGTTTTTATAAATTATTGCTAAAACTTACAATTAGTAATTTTTTTCTGTGACAATTGTTTTAAACTATTACTAAAACTCATAATTAATGACAAATTTTTTAAACTATCACTAAAACTGACCTAAGAACTCGGACTAGGATCGGACCTAGGCCAACAGGCCGGATCCATCTCGGGCCGCGGGTTTTGGACCACCACGGACGTGGGCCATTTTTAGGCTCCTATATCTGTGGCGGGAAGAGTAAACGAGGAAGCTGCAAACATTACCACTGATTGGGCACCGAATCACCCACCAATTCCTCGTACCAATGTCGTTTCTCGAAGATTTTCAAGCTAGTAATGCCCTCTCTCTCTCTCTCTCTCTCTCTCTCTCTCTCTCTATACATGCATACATACATACACACGCGTGTATACCTGCACATATAAATATGTTTTTTGTATGTGTATTTACTTGTTTGATTCCATTTCGCAACGTTCTGAATTTCTGGGTTTTGAGCCGTATATGAATTGGGTTTTTTATTCCAAATTATGGGTTTTATGGTTATCGCATGTGTGTGTGTTAGGGAGAGAGTTTCGGTTCTTAGGGATTCATAACACACAATATGTAGATTGATTTAGAAAATTGAGCATATATATAGATATTGTAGTTTCTTTTAATTTGAAAATCTTATACATAATTATGGATTTGAATCATTTTCAGAAGGAAAAATGTTTGGCACACCAACCCTTTTTTGGGTATGTTTGTAAAAGTGTTGGTGTTCCTAGCATTTTTTTTTTTCCCTTCAAAATTTAGTGTTTTTGTTTAGGGTTAATTTCAATTTTATTCCCTAAACTATCAATTTCGTCTATTTAGTTCCTTCAGTTTCTAATTTATGTTATTTTGGTCAATGACGATTGTACAAATCAATAAGCACTAAGTCTAATTTGTTGGAAGAAAAAAGTTATTTCAAAATTTGAACAACTTAGACTATACAACAAAACACTCATTTCTCTATCTCTTTTAAACAAACTATGTGCTACAACTAATTTATTGGGTGTTTGGTTGTATAATTTAAGTTGTCCAAATTATAAACTTATATGTTTGCCTATCAAATTAGGCTTTAATGGTTACTGATTTATACAATCATCTCAAATTGGACCACATGAGTAGAAATCAGAAACTTTAAGGACTAAATAGACGAAATTGATAATTTAGGGATGAAATCGGAAAAATGGTGATAATTATCAATGCTATGTATATGTATGTGCCACCGTGTTAGTGTTATGTGTCATTTATATTTTGCTAATGATATATATATATATTGTATTATGTTACCTGATAGATGGTAGCCTCTTCTCGATTTCACTTTAATCTTGGATTTACCTGTACCTAGATTTTCCATCAATGACCACTTGAGTAATGTTTAGTAGTCACTAGCTTGTTTCTTCATAACTAGCTCTCTCTCTTTTTTGTCCAGATTTGGAATCATTGCCAAATATGCTTCAAAGGAAGTACACATTGTTGCGTGATTTAGATAAAAGTTTACAAGGTATGCTTTAATAAGGTGTAAGCACTCTCGACTGTATTTAACTTTTGTCTCTTTTATATTCTTTCTTATAATTGAAATTATTACCCACTAACCTTGGGAAACTTGTTTCTTCTCCTTGATGTTGGAACTAAATCAATTTGTTTGCTTGTCTGGTTTTGGCTTGCTCCTGTATGCTTCCCAGTGTCTTGGACAAGATGGTTCAGACAATCCTGGATAGTCTTTTTGTTGGGTATGGGGATAGATTAATACCATGGTTTCCATTAATAGGGTGTAATGTTTGAACAGTGAGTTGGAAAGCATTATTAGTTTCAATTTTCTTGATGTATCAGTTATGGGTTTGGACCTCATACTTACCAGGACTCAAATAAATGAGTGTGATTATCAAATGGTTATGAACTGAAGTTTGTGCTTTAAGCATTATTTGGTGTGTATGATCAAACACAAAAATGAAAGAAAAACGCATTTTTGCTAAACCAATGGAGGGGGTCATTGCCAGAATCAAGGCAATATATTTAACTAAAGATCTAGATTTTTCAGGTATAAAAGGTTTAGCTCGGATGCTGATAGAGAGGATTTGGGCTCCTTTCAGTAAAATTTGAACAAGTTTTTGCTGTTTTTAAACCATCAAACTGCATTCCTTATTTTCAGGCTCTTTGTAACTGATTTTTAGAGGAAATTTGTGAGAACAAAACTCATGCAAGAGTTTTTGATCTTATAACATAAGAAACAGTGGTTCAATTTGTAATCAATAGTTTTTTTTTCTTTCAATACTATGATCTGTTGGCTCTCTAGGTTTAGTTGTAATGGATACCCCTCCCCCAAAATAAATAAATAAATAAAGATGATAGAACCTTTTTAGGAGTTTATGATGGGGAGGTGATGTTGGTTATCATAAATTGTTTATGATGGATACCCCTCTCTCTCTCTCTCTCTCTCTCTCTCAGTATTTTGTTTCATAAATTAGTGAACTGTCCTTTATGTATTTAAGTGTGTGTAGCTCGTTTTGTTTTATTTTGTTTTGATGCATGATTACTTTTGTTTCCTTTGTTTATGAACAGATATCCAACACCAAAATGAACAACGTTGCGAACAGGAAATAGAAGAAATGAAGCACGAAATCAAGTCTGGCAACATTACGCCAAATGCTTCAAATATCAGGTTCTCAGATGAGGCACTTGATGAACAAAAGCATGCCGTCAGGATTGCTGATGAGAAAGTTGCATTGGCCGTTCAAGCATATGATTTGGTATAATGCACTCCATCTTCCCCTCTATGTTAAATGACTGCACTTGTTATATTGATGATTAGCATATGTGGTTGTTCCTTAATTCCTGGCTCTTTTTTAAAACTCAGTAATTGCTAGAGGCTAAAATATCTTAGTGGGCATGTTATTTTAATGATTAGCATGCATGGTATTTCCATAATTCTTGTCTCTTTTTTAAAACTCAGTGATTGCTAGAGGCTAAAATATCTTAGTGGGTATGTTGTTCTTGAATTTCCTCTCAAATCAACTCAACTCAACTCAATAAGCCTTAATCCCAATTTCCTTGGGCTGGCTACATGGATTGGATTTCTTTAGTTGGTTCTATTCAAAGTCACTTCCCAATTATGTATTCCCGAATTTTCCATTTGTTCAATTATATTTCTCTCTCGGCTGTCACTATTCATCTCTTTCTCTGTCTCTCTCTCTCTCTCTTGCATGCTGGTTGTGAACAATTTTATCCACTTTTTCCTTTGGAAGGAAGGGTATGCATTTTCTATTCTCATTATTATTTATTTATTGTTTGTTCATAGATGTAAGAACATGTTTCAATAAGTTACACATCCTGTGATGCATTGATATGTTGAGGCAGCGAGATGCTTGATGGAGGCTAAAAGAACTGGAATCGCAGAACCACAAAATTTATTTTCAAATCCTCAAGAAATATTTGAATATTGGCTCATGAGGTTGGATCTCTATAATATTCCTAGCAAAGGGTTCCATTCAAATCTGATGCAACTGTTTTGGGATTTGCAACACCATATAGTCTATCAGAATGCATTCATCCTCGTACATGAACATAAACATGGAACTATGTTACCTGGAATGTGGATCGTTCCAGTATGTGGAATAGAAACGTGGTACGCCACATGCTCTAAAATATGGTACGATAGGGGTAGATTAGTATATATTACACTTAAGAATTTTAGGTACTTCTAAAATAATTTTTTTTTAACTATTAGGCATCCAACAAAATGTTTTTTTTTTTTCTTTTCATTTTTAATGTTTTTGTTTTGTCAAAACTTAACTCATCTTAGATTTAGTTCATTATATTTGATTTTTTTTTCCTCCTAAAATTACATTTAAGGAAATGTATTGGGAAAAACTTTTGAGTACGCTTTGAATCACTAAATTTACTGTTTTGGAACAGAAGTGTACCGTGTTTCGGAACGTGCGTACCAATACGTAATTCGCTAGGGTGTTAGCGTTTTTGGTAACATGGACATGGGAACAGATGGTCTTTTTTTTTTTTTTATCTGTCAATAGTTTTTTGAACATATGATTATTGTGACATTCTTATTTGTAATTAAAAAAAATACATTTGAAATGAATTTTTGGTTCTTCCTATGAACCTTGTTTAAAATTCAAAGACATTGTTTGCATTTTAGTTCCTATAAATAATTATGTGCTGAAGTTGAGGGGATATGATATAGTCGATGCCCTTGGAAACCTAATTACACTGACTTAACTATATTTATGAAATAGTTCCCTTTTGCAAATAATTTTCCTTATCAGTAAATATAGACTATCAGTTACTTTTGCACCTAACAAGTCGCATTTGATACTTATCACACACAAGAAAATTGCATTTGAGGTCTAAAAAGGCTTGTAGTTGTGAACTTGGTGGTTCAAATTTTGGGAGGGCTGTATTTTCTAAGAATAATAAAATGATTGATGAAATTTTTTTTGGTTTTGAGTAATTTTTCAAATCCATAGTGATCTTAAAGCTTAGTTGGTATTTGGAGGACATCACAATTAACATTGGGTTAAGTGGCTTGGAATTTGAGGTACTTCAGGAAGCGTGAAGTTTAGATATGTTTTAAAGTTATAGCCAATTCGTTTATTTATTTTTAACCAACATAGAAAGAGAAAAATGAATTTATCAACTAAGTATTTATGATGTTTTTTATTGAGGGGTTAGGTATCATATGGGAACTAAAACTGCCCATTTTGTTTAGGATATAACTCGAGTCCTTGTTTTTTATTAGAGGATTTATTTGTTATACCATACAATTCTACTAGTAGGATCCTTTTAGGATTTCGAGGACAGTTGCATCCATAATTTTTTGTGGTGATTGTGAAGATGTCTGTACATGAGATTTCCAAGTCTGATGAATGAGTTCTTGGTAGAATACAATGTGTTCCTTTATATTCATGGAGGGATGAAGGATTCCTTAGCCCTTGTTTTGGCACCTGTTATAAGAATTACTCCCATGGCCGAATCTCCTTTTTTTTTCCTCAAGTGTATTTTGTGATTACAAAACAGGTAGATGCTCATATTCAACAACTTGATCAATATCTGAGAAAAATTGATGAAGAGCTTCGGAGTGGTAAGTTTCTTTTAGGTTCTGCATCTTCTACTTCTATACGTTGCTCATTATGGTGGTCTTAATGTCGTAAATGTTTTCACCTTTGTTGTGAGAAACCCCTAATTTTTTGTTGCTTTTTGACTTTTGGTAGAAAGAGAAAGTGTTGCTGTGACAGGGTCAGCTGCTCAAAACCTCAACAGTAATGTTAAATCCCGGAGGGGCAGTGAGAGTGGAAGAGGAGGGCGTAAGAAGTAACTACCTTTCCCATACCTGGATTTTCAAAGTTCCCTGTTAGATTTATTTAGGCCTCACATCTAGGCTGTTGGGGCTTTTGATTCTGATTGCCCTTTTATTTTTGGAAGCTCTTATGCTTGCTGATTTAAATTACTTTAAGACTTCAATTTTATGAGATGTCATGCAACATTGAGGTTTTTGAGATTCACAACTTCATAATTACTGTGATTATTGTTACTATGTTTTAAATTTCCTCATTTAAGAGATGGAGATTGGATATGAAGATTTTCATTAGATAAGGAAAACATGTGAGTAGATAAGAGGAGTTTGCTCTTTACTAAAAGAATAGATGCAGCTAGAGCATGAGGACCCACCGGCAGAGTGAGAGCCATGGGGGAAGAGTAGTCCCAATGGAACACTTGAGACTCTTCTTTTAGGTCTTGCCTTAGCTGATATCTGGAATCCTGAGTACATGGGCCAATTGCTTCTGAAAGGTTAATGGAACTCTTATTGAGTGAATGATATTGGATATGGCTCATAAGTAGACATCAAACATGATAACGCACCCATTTAATGAACTTTTTATCCTTTTTTTCTCCCCTTGTCATATTTCAGCATAAAGCAACCCACTTATCTTTGTCAAGCTAGTAACCAAATACGTAACTGCCATCTTCAAAAGACTCTTCACAATCTGATATTTTATTGATAAATCATTATTTTGTGATCTGGGTGTGAAGAACTTGTATACATAAGAGAGAGAAACAAAAGTTAATATTGCTTACTTTAAAAATAAAAAGAAGTTAATATGATGTTCATTAGAAGAAGAAGATAAAAATAATGTTTTGTAGAAGCCAAATAGTTAATGATACTTGGGGGAATTTGATTGTAGGAGCAGTGTATATATCAAATCCAAGTCTCAAGTCCCTTGAATTTTGAAAGCAGAGAGAGTAGCTTTATTTGAAATTTGTGTCTTAATCAGAGATGGGGAACGTGGTTGCAAGAAAGCAGGATTCCCCCCCCAAAAAAAAAAAAAACCCCCATTAGTTAGCAATTTAATGAGATTGTAATCTTGTTAATTTACCCCATTAGTTAGCAATTTAATGAGATTGTAATCTTGTTAATTTACAGGGGAATTCTTGGAGAGGAGAAATTGTACAAACTCTCGAACCCTGCCATACTTAAGTTATCCTTTTGCTTTTGATGTACTTTCCATAGAACTTCATCTTTTACAAGGAGACATTAAAATTTTTGCATGAAATAAAAATCAGTAAATTTATAACGCCAAGTTTTATCTGTCACTGTCATCTATTTTTCATTTGATTTCTAGTAGTTTGTGAGCTATAATTGAGATTTTGGTGTAATCTTGGGTAATCAACCATTTAAAGGCATTTTCGTGTTTGATAAAAAAAAATTGTGTTAATTAGAGGTCCAAAAGCAATGTTATATATGAAATCCCCCCAAAAAAATTCAACTTTGTGTTTAATAGGATACAGACTATCGGGTTCTATAAGTTCTTGTAAAACATTTGCCGTTATTGAGTAGCTAAATAAATATGATTGGCGAATAAGACAGTGTGAGCCCCATGACAATCAAGAAGCCTTTGTATTCCAAAGGAAGATTTCTATTAATTGAATTAAGTCCTAGTTTATGTTTCTTCAAAGTTAGTTTGCTGCTGATCACTCACATTTATGATTTCATATAATTTAGGATCTAAGGAATTTTGGTAAGGATTGCACAGGATATTTGTCTATTAGTGGGCTATGATCTCACTGTTGCTACTTTTGGTTTGGTACCGGCTTCGGTGTTGGCAGTGTCGCAAAGTTGGGCTGAGGGGTGGGTTGGGAAGAGGCACAAAAAGGCGTGGATGCTTGCAGGTCACTGTTTGATGTGGTTGGTTTAGTTAGAGCGGAATAGGCGCATTTTTCAGGAGCTGTCTCATTCAGTCCCGTGGTTGGAACAAGGGTTGCTCACAGTGCAACATAGTTGGGTTACGAGTTCAGTAGATCCAGATGTGTTGGCATTTGTAGATTTTGTTGAGGACTTGATTAGTTAGGCTTTTGGGCTGATTTAGCCTTGATTTTTGTATTCTTTGCATCATCTTGATACTTTTTTAATAAAGTAATTATTTATCAAAAAAAATAAAGTGGTTGTAGTTGGTCCAAAGTGACTTTTTGGTCATCACAAAAAATAGAACTTTTTTGCACATACAAAAAGTGTTTTATCACAAAAAGAATAACTTTAACTTTAGGGGTGCACACCATAACTTCGCCATTCATAACTTGCACCACAGAAGTCATAAATTCCATCACAAAAATTCGTAACTTCTGTTATAATGTGCACCTTTTTAGGGGTGCACTTTGTAGCATTTCTCTCTACATATAGGATCTCACCGCCTCCAAGATCTAATCCACTACCAAATGAGATTGATCATGCGAGATCTGTTACTCATGATCTGTCTCCAACTTTCACTTAGCTCTAGAATAACCTAGGCTGAGAGCAGGGCCTAGCTTCTCCATTTGGGATAATTGGAGGATTTGTGCTTTGGAGGCTAGAATAAGCCAAGGTTCCTGCTTGGGAACACTTTACTAGTCTTAGATGAGAAGGTTTCACCAAGGCACATAATATACTTGCAATTCGCGATCTGCAACTCTTGACATTTACATCTTGCATGCCCGACATTCATACCATGGCATGTGATACTGTCACAAGGACGCAAAAGATTCATTGGTCCCTTGATACTGTTGGGATCCACTGGCTTCTTTTTATATTATTGGGAGGTCCCTCCCTATATGAGATCCACCCAAGATGAATGAGGCAATGAATATACTCTTGCATAGCTCTCTTTGGCACAAAAGACTTCCACTGCCACCCTCTCTTTTTTAAGAGTGTCTCAACTCTCTCCTCCACCTCCGGTGCATCTAAGTGCCTACTATCTTCCCATATCACCTTGTTCTGGCAATGCCCCTACATGATCATCCACAACCTGTTAGAACATCAACACTGTCTTCTTCAGGAGACTAGCTTGGCAGAAGATGCTAACTGAAGGATATTAGTAGTAAGAATGAAGTTGCCTCCAATATTCATAATGAAAAGAATGGTGTTAGCAGCAATTTAGTGATACTACGTTAATTTTACACTTAAGATGGAATACACCATATGTTGAGCAGTATTTCTTTTTAAATAGTCTCATTTAAAGCTTTACTTTATTCAGTGAATGATGTCATATCATATCGTTTCAGGAGCTTGCTTTTATTGCTGAAGCATTGTTTTGCAACATGAATCAACTTATTTTTTAAATTGCCTAATTGGTATCGACAGGCTCATCAAACAAATTAAAATTTAGTATTCTCCAATGTAATCTAACTACTCCAAATTTTTTTGGTTATTTTCTGATTATTATTGTGTATAATTCTTCTATTATTGCTGATATTTCTCAGGTGCTTTTATTTAAATAAATTACCAAACATGTTCCTGTAGACCTATATTTTCTTCAATTGCAACAGTTATCTTACTCTTGAATTTGTCATAAATCTTAGAGCCATCGTTGTTATCAATTCCAAAATATTTGATGGTTAAATGGTTATTGAGCTGAATTTGATACTAAAAGGGTTTAAGAATCATAATAGCTGTGATTGAAAATTTATTAGCTTGCCTAGATGAATAACCTAAGAACTTTCAAATCATGAGATCTAAGTTCTTCGACATCAACTAGGTGGCTTTTACATGATGACCACTGCTGCATTTTTTCACCATGTGGTCTGGAAAGGCATTTAATCAAAATTTCTATATAATAATTTTCTCCACCTATTTAGGTTGATATTAATTATTTTCTCATGTTTTTCACAGAAGAATATATATGAAGTCTAAAGCGCCTATTTGTGCAGGACTCGCCGAGGCACAGCAAATGCAGCAGCAGCAACTGCAAATCCAACCAGTATGGATTTGGATCTACCAGTGGATCCCAATGAACCCACATACTGTTTCTGCAACCAAGTGAGCTATGGAGAGATGGTTGGATGCGACAATCCTGATGTATGTATTCAATTTTCTTCTTGTTCCTTTTTCTTTTTGCGCGATCCTATATTTTAAAATCTGTGATAATGATGAAATGCACTCGTTCTCTTTCAACAGTGTAAGATAGAATGGTTCCATTATGGCTGTGTTGGTCTGAAAGAACAACCCAAGGGAAAGTGGTATTGTTCGGAATGTGTTGGGATGCAAAATCGTAGGAAAGGCAAATGATTGGAGGCATTGGTTTCAGTAACATATACATTAGGGATGTTCAGCTTTACTCTGATGTTATTTATTGTTGAACACCACAGTACTTTGAAACAACAAATTTTGAGGTATGTTATGAAATATTTGGATTGGTTAATCTCTTTAAAAGTTTTGTACACATTAATTCACCTGATTATATCTTTTACTATTATATTGGGAAGGTTGTGGTTCTCAACCAAACATGTGCTTCTCTCTAGGTTATATTTTCTTCCTAGTTTGTAAACAGGAATAATTTTTTGTGTGCCAAGAATTTTTCTGGCCTTTCAATTTCACCTATCTCATTCCAATACGATCAAGTTCACTTCAGGTTTTGATTAAGTACCAGATTCATCTTAGATATAATTTTCCCCTTTTTCTTTCAGTTTTTAGTTCTGATATGATCAAGTTCACTTTCTTTTTTTTTCCCCTGTTTTTTTATTATTATTATTATTATTATTATTATTATTATTATTATTTGTTTTGAAGTTTTGTAATTGAAACATCTATTCACCTTACCACCTGTGGTGAAGAAAAAAATTCAGAGGTAATTGATGTCAAAACTAGGGTAAATGGTAGCTCTTTGGATTGGGTAGCTTCGGCATGCTTCAAGATCACGGAATTGTCCAAAATTGAATATCACTAAGACCATCTTTAATGATTACTTAAATCTGTCATCAAATTTGAATTTGATGAAAAATGGCTCCTTTTCCTGTCCAATAGTTTCATCAAATAGGTATCAAATCCAATATTTCACTTTTCTTTCTTCAAACTGAGAACCAATGTGTCTTTCATCAAATCACTGTTTATAGTCGTTTGATTTTCATTTCCGAATGTCCATTTGAAGGCAAAAATTATTGAAAAAATTACACTGACCAGTCGACCCCCTGGTCGTTCATCCTGTCGACTTTCTGAATGACCATCTCAAGGCAAAAATTTATAAAAAATTTGCACTGGCCGATCGACTAGCTGGACATCTACCTGGTCGACTGGTATTTTGATAAAACTTCAAAAAATTTTGTTGGAACACTTGATATCAAATGGAACTTCTACTCAAATTTAATGCACCATTAGAGATGCTCTAATAAGGGCTATTGGTGCAGTGGAAAAGCACTGAATGAACCTCTAGGGTTTAGTCAAGTTCAGTAATTGGGTTTGAGCCCTAGAATCCCCTTTTTCTATCTCCTCTCCTTCCTGGACCTAAAACAAAATCTCACTATTATACAAGTCAAAAAAGGTAGTAGGGAACAACCAGTGTCTCCCAACGAGATCATTAGGAGTCATACCCACTAGGCCAGACATGAAGGACCTAAATGGGCTTTCTAATGTAAGAACTTGTTAGAATCCGTAAACGTTCCCTCAAGAGGAGTTGAGTGACAAAAAAAATGATAAATTGGTTTGTTTTTGATTTGTTTAAAATAAAATCATGTTTTTCCTATTGGTAAAATTATGTAAGAGGAAGTGTCAAAGGGGCATATGACCCCTTGTATGGAAGGAGGAAAAAACTAAGCTAAAACTTCTAAAAGAAAGGAAAAATAAAATAAAATAGTTAATTATAAATAAATGGAAAGTAGATAAAGTGATTAAAAATTAATGAAAATTAAACAATGATGACACTAAATGCATAATAATTATAAAAAGATGAAAATATTATATGGAAATTATGAAATTGTCTTCTTTTTTTTTTTTTTTTTTTTTTTTTTTTTTTTTTTTTTTTTTTTTTTCATCCCTTTGCATTCCTTTCTCATCTCTTTGCAAACCCTAACTCTGCTGGCCAACCACATAGCCTACCTCTCCCTGCTCCTAACAGACCCTCCCCGATGCTACTCCACCCTCTCCAATATGCTATAGAATTAAAAAGAAAAATTACATTTAAATAAAAATAATTCAAAATATTTGTATTTTTATTTCTATAGAAGTAGGAAATTGGGTCACTGTTGTGCCTTTGGCACATCAGTCACTGCTGTGCTTCAATTTGAGGTGTATTATGGACTCATTTTTATAATTTGAACCGTTCATTTTGTAGGGTTTGTTGAGTGCTTCATACCTACCAAAAATCATATTAATCGGATATCAATAACTATATGATCGAATTGCCTATTTTTATGTTATTTCTCAAAAGAAAAATTTATTATTTATTTTTTTGGTTATCAATCATATAGTTATTAATATCCGATTAATATGATATTTGGTAGACATGAAGTACTCAGCAAACCTTACAAAATAAACGATTCATATCATAAAAATAAACCCATAATGCACCTCAAATTGAGGCACAACAAGCACGGTAGTGACCCTATTTCCATAGAAGTACAAGTCAGAATATGTACGAGTTATATCCCATTTCACTCGTAAATAATTGCATTTTCTTAGTAGTAAGTGAATTGTACCCATTTAAATACACTTTTCCCAAAATTAAATAAGATCTTCATTACTATTGAAAATTTCTTAATTACTAAAAAAAAAACTATTGAATTCAAATTGTCATGAAATAACAAGACTCAATGGAACATAGGATTGAAACAAATAATGAGAGCACAAAATCCAAACCCACTGAAGCCTTTTAACGTTGGAGATGGTGTGGAGGCACAGTTGTGCGGACATTTGAGTCCGTTTCGGAACTCGTTTTGATAATTTAAATCGTTTATTTTTTGAGATATATTGAATAGAATATACATGTAAAAAATTAAATTGATCGAATTACATTTGTATCTACCAAAATGAATAGCAAATTTGATTTGAAGTATAAAATTAAATACAAATACTATTTGATGGAAAGGCTAATGATATCCAATCAACTTAATTTTTTACAGATATATTCTACTCAATATAACTTAAAAAGTGAACAATTAGAAATGGATCCCAAAATAGACCCAAATAACCACACAGCAATGACTGTTGTGGCTCCAATGCAACTCAGAAAGCTAATTTCTACCCTTAAGAAGTTACACTCTTGTTGGCTACATATTTTGTACAAGCCAGTTACAATTCGACGCGTGACAAAATAAGGGTAATATAGGAAGACTATTCAGGTCCTTGATCCTGATCGTACACGTGGCAGTTAGTATTGGTTATTAAGAAATCTGAGTAGCAGCGGATCAACAAAGAGATACAAAGTGACGTGGCCTCAATGGTTACTCGCATTTCAGATTCAAATTTAGGAGGGAAGCTTAATTGCAAGTAATGGCGTAGTGGAGCTAATATTGGGGAAGAATGATCGATGATCATGGAGGAGCAGTTCGACGGTTGGAAATGTAATTCGATGGTCATCCTGGAGCAATATAAATAGTAGAGAATGCCCCAGAAAAAAGCCCAGACTCAGATCTAAAAAACCAGTCTTTATTACTTATTTTCCTTTCCAGCTTTACATTTACAGTTTTTTACATTTATAGTTCTTTACATTGTTGTACTTTAAAATTCCTGTACTGCATTTCGTTTCATAGGAGTAGTTCCAAGTAGAGTTGCTGTAAACCTTTATGAGGCTGAGTTTGGATCATTGTAAGTCTTTTCATCTTAATGAAATACTTCGACTGTTCTTCAATTCATTGTTATCTGTTTGATTCTTCAAAGTCAAGCCACCAGTAAAAGTCCTCTTCATTGAGGCTGAAAGAACTAAAACATAGTCGTCTGATAATTAGTTGGCAATTAATTTTCTGTAAGGACTAATTGATCATTGCTGGCATGCTCGCAATTACAACAATAACCTTCGAAAACCAAAAAGTCAACATATATTTTTGGCACGCCAATGGGACTACATTTAAAATGGCTAGACGTAGGAGACAAGGAGAAAATGAACGCTTGGAAAAAGGCGTGGAAGGAGAGGTAGAGATACCTAATCCAGAGGATAATGTGATAACACATCCTGTGGAAACTCCTATTTTATCGGAACCTATGATCGAACAGATCAGTACTTCAGAGCAAATACCATTTGTTCGTAATATTGGACGAGACCAAGGAATTGGACCATCCACTGTCCTATCTACTCAGCCAGTGAATCCATGGGGTGGCTTAATAGATGCAATGGGACAGCAATTAATGAACACAATAGAAAGGTGGGCAACATCCTTTTTGGATCGAATGAATAACCACCAACCAACAAACGCAAGACATATGGAGGAAATTTTGAATGTCCCTCAGCAAAGATTGGCTAGAGATAAATAGCCTCTGCAAGTTAATGGACATTCTAATGGACAAACTAGTAATTAGAACCATGAAAGACCATCACCTCAGTCTCGGTACGAACCTGTTCCAAGACCCGTTGTAGGTTAAAATGTCTCAGTACTTAACAGTGAAGCCATGCAATTTGGTGGAACTGGCCCAGTACAAGGAAAAGGCATAAGAATGGTTCCAAATCCCATGTTCGAAGCCAGACCTGGAATAAGGGGGTTCACTAATCCCTTATTCGAATTTATACCCGGAGGGTTGGAAGGTTTGCCTACAAATGGAAGAGACACAACACCAGTTCCAGCACCTTTCGCAGGTTCTTTCGTAGGACAAATTCAAAGGGGTTACCCACACCTCCAACAGCAACCTGCACCACAGGAACAACCAGTCCCAAACATGCCACCTTATGGACCAAGAGGACCACAAGCACAAGTTTGTCCACCAAATCCTGTGTTTGTTCCTCCAGCGGTGGTTTAGCAGGCACAAAATATGGTCCATAGGGACCAAATTGCTGACATCGTTAGGGAGATGTGTGGACCAATGGCTCGGGGGGTCCAGACTCCTGTTTACAGAAAACCATACCCAGAATGGGTAGATAGGGTACATGAATACCCAAGAGGTTTCAGGATACCAGATTTCGCCCTTTTTTATGGGAATGAAAACCAGTCAACAGTAGAGTACATCGATAGGTTCGCTGCTCAATGCGGTGAGTTCATTAATAATGATTATATGAAGCTGAGACTGTTCACAAATTCTCTAACTGGGGGAGCATTTGTATGGTACATTAACCTTACACCTGGTTCAATCCAAACTTGGTAACAAATGGAAGAGGCATTTCATGCCCAATTCTTCCAATCGGAGCCAAAGGTTTCCATGGCAGACCTGGCAAGGTTGAGTCAAAGGCCTGAAGAGAAGGCTACTCAGTTTATTGCCAGATTTAAAAGGGTTCAAAATAAATGTAGAATCATTTTGCCAGAGCCAGAATTCGTAAGATTGGCTCAAAATGGCTTAGAATTTAGGCTTCGAAAGAAGTTTGACTCAACAGAGTTCAGGGACTTAGTGAAACTGACTTACAATATCTAGATATGAAGCATTACTAGAAGAGGAGCAAGATCGAAATAATGCATCATATAAGACATACTACAAAGA